CGGCCGCCCCTCGGCCCCGGAGCCCCTCGGCGGCGCCACCATGTACTCGGGAGCCGGCCCCGGTGAGTCCTGGCGCGGGGGACGCCGGCCCGGCCGCTCGCGCTCGTCCCCGCGGCGCCCGCGGCGGTTGGCGGGCTGGCGGGGGGCGCGGGGGGCGCGGGCGGGGGGTGGGGGCGCGGGCCGGGGGGCTCCAGGGCGAGGCCGGGGGCGCGGGGCGCGGGCGGCCGGGGGTGGCGGGGCGGGGGTGTGGGGTGGGGTGGCGGCGGGGCCGGGCCGCCGGCCGTTGGCTCGGCCTCCTCGGGCCCCCGGTCGTCGGGGCGCCCCGCGCGGCCTGGGCCCTTCCCGCGCCCGCGCCCCGCGGGTGGAGCCGGAGGCCGGGGCCGGGGCCCGCGTGTAGGCCCGAGGCCCGCGCCCGCCTCGCCCGCCGCCCCGGTGCGGGTCCCCGCTGCGCCCCGCGGGCCCGGGCCCTGACGCCGGCGGGGGTTCGGGCCCGGGGGCGGCGCCGAGCTCGGGGTGCGGACGGCGGGGGCCGGGGACGCGCGGCCCCCCGGCGCCAGACCGAGCCCGGCGGGCCTGGAGCGCACTCGCTTTCGCTTTTCTCTCTGCCAGCACTTGTGTGGCCCCTGCTCCGGGGGAAAGTCTGGAAAAGCTGGATTTGGGCTCATTCCCGCTGGTAGTTAGGGCTGCGGACTGAGAGGGCTGGGAAGCGGTCCCCCCAAACCCCTGAAACTGCGTGCGGCTCGTTCTCATTCCAGACACGCCGGCTCCTTATTCAAGTGCTAATTGCCTTTTACAATTTACTAGAAGCTGGTGAGGAGAGGTGTCGACTCCCTTAGCACCCCTTTCTACCAGCCCGCTCTCTTTCTTTGGAAAAGTTCTAAAAAACTTCAAGGAGTAACACGTCCCCCCACCCCCCCCTTCCCCGTTGTAAAGGCCCGGGTGGAAGCGCGGCGGGGTCGCCGGGCCAAGAAACCGGTCAAGTGTTGTAAAGCTTTTTCTCCTTCTCCCGCCAGGCACGTGGCTCCCTAATTTCCCGGCTGGCCCTGCCACTTGGACAGGGCATCGCCTGTCCCCTTTGTCCGCCAGGCTCCAGCGGGCTGCAGGCCCGGCCCCCGCCCTCACCAGCCGCCTGCTGATGGGGCCCTGGCTCAGCTGCCCCAGGTCAGGGGTCTGGAAGCCCCTCTTGATCCGCTCAGCTCCCTTGTCGCGGTCCCCGGCTGCTGTGGCCGTTCACCACCTGCAGCTTGTGCCTGGTGAATCCTGAGTGTCTTCTTTCTGGTGTCACTTAATTTGGAAGCTTTTCCAGGGCTGCGCCCCACAGACTTATAAACCCTTACAGGCTCCCAGCAATTTGATTGAAGAGTGGTTTTAATCCTACACCTGGGAGGTGACTCCGGGCTGGCCGGGTGGACTCTTACTACAGCCCTGAGGGCAGATTTGACTTCTAGAGTCCCTGGGCGGGCGGGTTCCCCCCCCGCCCCCCATGAAAGGGGAGGGTAGCCCCTTACCTATCGGAGTGAGGATCCCCAGGAATGCCTGTACCGGAACCCAGCAAGTGTTACTCACCACACCGGGGACTTTTCCAGATTGTCACTTTAAAAGTTGGGGATCTGGAAAAAGTGAAGAACCTTGAGGAAGGTCAGACTTTCCTGCTGTGCCTCACCTTAATTAACCCATAGGGTGGCTTTTGTTAAATTGGTGATGTTCATTTTGAAGGTAGACAGCAGAGGCTCCGATAGGTTAAGAACTCTGCCAAGGTCAAATGGCCAGTGAGCATTAGGACGATTTGTCTGATCCCAAGCTGACTGCGGACACTCTCCTTAAAGAAGTGGCTTTCAGTCCTTTTGACCTTGACCCACAGTCAGAAGTACCTGTTACATCTAGGCTGGCCTGCTGTGCGCATGCGCTCAGGTGTAATTGACCCGAGAGCTTCAGGAAGCACCGCTCACCCTGAACTGTGTGCTCTGCTCAGGGGTGTTTTGTCACTTCTTGCTTCCCAAGACCTGTCATCCTTAGGGGTCCCCAGGCTCATCTCTGGTCACTGACAGCTTTTGGAAGAAGCCTGCTGTGCTCTGGGCCTCTGTGTGCACTGGGAGAGGGGGCCCTGTGGCCCGCAGACAAACCTGGAGCCGGACAGCTTTGGTTGCAAAAACAAAGGGGCCTGTGGGATGGTTGTTAGCTACTGGCAGGATGGGACCGAGCCCCGATTGCAGGCTGTGCGAGCGCGCTGTGAGGGTGAGGCTGGGGTGCCCCCGCCTGTGTTCCACACACCAGGGCTTTCAGGTTGGCTTAGAAGGAGCTTTTGGAATAGTTTCTTCGATGAGACTCTTTTTATTGTTATATTTCCTAACGTACAACAATGAAAAGACAGTCCGTCCGGATTGTAGAAAAATTACAAATAGGTTTGCTACTTCCAGTTTTCATATACTTAGGAAACAATTTAGGAAATTAGCTCAAAAGGTAGAATTCGCAGTAGGTGGGTGTTATGCCCGTTACAAATGCTGTTACAGAAGGTGGATTAATGTTTGGACCCTGCAGATGTCACTGCTTATTAGTGTTTTTAGCTTCGAAAGAGCTAGTGGTTCAGGACGGTGGGTCTCCAGTGACCCTGAACTTTAGGAGATGATCAGGTTCGCTGTTTGTTTTTATTTGTGTGTTTGTTTTTAACAACCTGAAGATCTTCGAGTGTGTCTGAGGGAGCCCAGGAGATTGTTTCTTTTGGTTTTGTGGTGCTTGGCTACTGTGTTTAACCCCTCGCAGCATTGCAACAAAGTAACTTTCGTGACACATAAGTCTTACTTGGGAGTTGTCTAACGGGGTGGAGACTTCGGGAATCCCTGGCTTCCAGTGGTTTCCAGTGCTGAAGTGCTGCTTCTGCTCTCCCCACCCCAGTTGTCAGCGAAGATGTGCCCCCGTGTCCCAGTGAGGGCGACTTTGGCCATATGGCAGATGGCCTCTGCCGAGAGAGAGAAAATCCCAAGCAGGCTCTGCGTCATCCATGCAGAGCCTGATGCGGGGCTCAAACTTTTGAACCGTGAGATCACGACCTGAGTTGAAGTCGGAGGCTTCAGACCCGGTGACCCAGACGCGCCCCCCCCCCCCACCCTTAACAAACCTTGAAGAAACATTGAAATAAGTGTGTCAGAAGACAGTATGTAAGAGCTGCAACTCCGGAGACCTACCTTGTTTGGAGAAGCAGAATATTCTTGTTACCCTCTAGTTTCAGCGTCAGAACTTCGAGCAATACCAGTCTGCTCTATCCTTCCTAACGGGTGTGAGGCTACTGGTGGCACGCTAGCCTGATAAAGTCTATTTTTGTTTCAGTGAATGGCTGCCGTGGACGTTCAAAATGTAACGCTTGATTATTTTTTTTTTTTAATAATTTCTGTTGTGAAATAGTTTCAAGTACACAAGTACACAGAAGTAGAGAGCCGGGCACGGGACTCTCCCATTTTTCCATCCTCAGGCCTCAACAAGGATCAGGATTATTATTACCCTTTCCCACTTTTTCTTTGCGGAAATACTCTAACGCCCATTCCAGGCTTGTCGTTTCACCCCGTGTAATACCTAAGTGCCACGTCCGAGGAATAGGGACATTTTAATCTCTGTGCCATTTTCATGCTCAACAGTCCGTAATCAGTTTCTCCTGTGACCTCAGGTGTGCTTACAGCGGTCGTTTGGGATCGTGGGTTTTAATAAAAGTGCACACACAAATTTGGTTGTATTTCTTCTGGGGCCCTTTAATCTGGACTCTACAGCTAGCGGCCCTCTCCCCTGCTGTGGGCTTGCTGTAGACATCTAGTCTTTAAAGGCTCATTTTGTCAGAGTATTTATACACCCCCCCATTATCTGAAAAGAACCTCCTTGTTCAGGATACCCCCGTTTTGTTGAGTAAGGCCAGTGGAGACCCACTTGTCTGTGATTTTAATGATGACACATTTATCTTCAGTGTTTGTAGACAGACCCCTTTGCGTCTGGAATTTTCCGTTGCAGAAGAATCTGGGTGGTTGTGGTGCTCTGAGCAGAAGGGACGTTTACCACGTGGAGGAAACGTGGACACGGCACCTGTGGGCCTGTGGCTCTCCCCCAGGCATGGCTGGGGTCTCTCCCGGGCCACGGCCCCCCGTGTGTGTGACCAGACTTGACGGCTCTACCCCCCAGCTTGTTACGCTTCCTCCGTGGGTGACCCACGGGCAGCCGCACCTCCCGAGCCCCAAGCGTGGTGCCGCGGCCTCGGGCGGCCGAGGCAGTGAAAACACCCCGACACCGCGCTGCTCTGATTTTTTCCCTGCTTTTTTCTCTCAAAGTTTAAAAACCAAAAGCTGATGGTTGGTCTCGGGGTCCTCACTCTTCATGACCAAACAATGGCGCCTTTTCTACTTTACCTTTCAACAGACCTGCGCCCTGGGCGGCCAGACGGCTGGCCATCTACACTGGACACTTGCAGGAGAAGGGGAGGTGTTCTTCATGTCGCTGCGGCGTGGGGCCCCCAGAAGGGCTGGGCACCAGGATGGGTGTCTCCCGGGCTCCAAGCAGCTCTCACAGCTGAGGCTTGTGGGTCTCCTCAAACCTTTTATTTTGTCTACTTATTATCATTATTTTTTTAGATTTTATCTTTAAGTGAACTCTACATTCAACATGGGGCTCGAACTCACAACCCCGAGTTGCACGGTCCAACGACAGCCAGCCAAGCGCCCCGGGGCTTACACATTTTACACTTGTTGCGCTTTTCTGTGGCTTTGCTCTTACTAAATTCCTCATCAGGTTGAAGGACGCAAGCGTGGTCTCCGAGAGATTGCCACCAATTTGTGCCAACGGGGCTCCGGCACCGCCCGCTCCCTCCATTGCTGCTGGAGGCAGGATCTGCTTGAACTTGAAACCTCACCTTCTAGTCCTCCTCATCCCTTCCTCGAGGTCACAATTCAAGCAGTGGACAGATGTGGAGTCGGCATCAGCGCCGGCTCTACACGTGCCCTGGGCCTCCCGAAAGCAGGGAGTCGGGCCTGGCCGGCTTCGGTCCCCTCATGGCCACACTCTGTGGTGCGTTTACTCCTCTGCTGAC